CGTACTACTGGTAGTATCCAATACAAGGACCAGGACCATCGACTGTCGCCATGGCGTGCGAGTCTCTGCAAGAGTGATAGAATCGCCAGCGCCTACACACGTGCGCAATTTTTTCAATTCGGTTCGGTGCAAGAGTGTTCTACTCTTTTTGACCCTCGCACCACATTCGATGACCGATGGCACCTGGTCCTCGCAGGAAGCCTTGTTCGTCGCATCGACTGAGGAATCCAGCATCGGTGGACGCAGCACAGATCGGTAGCTTCGAGTAGCCGATCGACACCGCGTCCCTTTGCGGCTTCATCTCTGTATTTTCGGCTCTGCAAGCGGCTGAGAAGAAGAAGTTGCTCAGCACACCCACGCATCGATGTAACGCAGTAGCAAGTTTGAGGCTCGGCGCATCCAATAGCCGATGCACAGTCGTCATGGCATCGAGCGCAGGTAGGTGCAGCTGGGGGCAGACAGTCTCGTTTCGTATTTTGTGGGGGAATGTTCGTAGAGTTATGAAATGGCTTACGAACGATCGCAATTTTGCATTCGGCCGGCAACTTGATTGATCCGTGGCGATAAGCTCGGGTCCCATTTTTCAATTTGCCCACTTGGACAACCATGAAGCTCAGTCTCACCTTGGCGCTGGCCGCCGCTGCCATCACGACCGTCTCGTCTGCCATCTGCAAGGGCCTCGCACCCCCGTCGTACACCGACGCTGTGAAAACCAACCCGCAGTTCGCGCCGGCCATCGACATGATCAAGCAGTACCCGGTCGCCAACTGGTATGTCGACTGCGGCAGTGACTCGATCAATGAGCTCATGGCCACGTGCCCCAATGACACCCCTGTCATCATCATCTACGGTCTGCCCCAGAAGGACTGCGCGTCGAGCTCGAGCAACGGCAAGAACACCAACGCCGACCAGTACAAGGCGTGGGTCCAGTCGTTGGCCAACAAGGTTGGCAACCGCAAGGTCATTTACATTTTGGAGCCGAACGCCATTGGCCTCTACTCGACCGGCGACGGCGACAAGTGCGCTAAAAAGTACGGATACCAAGAGAACCTCGCCGCGGCCACGAGCATCCTCGCGGCCAACAGCAACGCGCAGATCTACGCGGATGTCGCGGGCTGGGCCTTCCAGGAACCTGCCATCAAGGCCCTCAAGAAAATCGGCAAACTCGGCAAGCTCACGGGTATCCCGATCAACACGTCCAACTACAAGCAAACGGTTGACATGAACCAGCTGTGCCAGTCGTACTCGCGGCAGACGGGTGGTCTTCACTGCATCATTGACACGTCGCGCAACTTTAACGGGTCGCCGCAGAACGAGTGGTGCAACGCACGGTCGGCCGGGATTGGCGCGCCGCCGACGGACAAGACGGGCAACCCACTCGTCGACTACTACCTCTGGCTCAAGGTCCCCGGCGAGTCGGACGGGCAGTGCGTGGGCCAGTCGAGCGACTCGAGCGCCGGTCCCGACGCCGGTCTCTTCTTTCCCGACGGCTTCCAGCGTCTCTGGAACCAGGGCTACTTTGTGGCGGGAGGTGCACCCAAGATCGGCCAAGCCCCGGCGCCGACCCCAGCATCTTCTAGCAGCCAGTGCACGATTGAAGCCAACACCGACTACTACGGCAACGACCTCAGTCGGCACCCCGTGAGTGGCGACGCAAACAGCTACGTGAGCGTCTGCTGCGACAAGTGCTCGACAACGAGCGGTTGTGCCGGCTTTACGATCAACGACGGCTTCTGCTACCTCAAGAGCAAGCTCGAAAACAAGAGCTCGAGCAAGACAGCCGTTTCGGGCAGCCGGTCGAGTGGATCGTGCGGTGCGACCGAGGCCAACACCGACTACTACGGCAGTGACCTCACCCGGCACCCGGTGAGTGGTGACGTCAACAACCAAGCCCGATTTTGCTGCGATAAGTGCTCGGCAACGGGTGGTTGTGCCGGCTTTACGGTCAACGACGGCTTTTGCTACCTCAAGAGCAAGCTCGAAAACAAGATTTGGAGTGCGACGGCCGTCTCGGGCAGCCGGTCGTCTTCGCGCCTACGCCGTGCTTGATGCCGCTGATGTATCCGTCGATGCCATGATATCGAATCAATAATGCCTCCAAAATGCATAATACATCATCATGTTGACATTCCTGAAACGATGAGCTACTCAGCGCTCTAGTAA